ATCATTCGGACGTGGTTTGATAGACGTTTTGAACAAAAGCAGAATTTGGATGTTTTTGGAATTCTTAGGCTTGAATCCGATGTGATTTGGTTGTTTTGATGTTGTTTGAGGTGTTTTGAAGATTGGTATAAGTTGTGATGGTGGTATATGACTTGTTCGTGCTTTTGGTTGAGGTCCCGGAGGCCTCGGGGGGATTTCGGATGGTTGACAAAAGATTTTAAGTTGGGTTTTGGCAGCTGAAGATTTCCTATTGCTGTCATAACCGCACCTGCGACTAGGGGGCCGCAGGTGTGGACACGCAGAAACGGAGATGGAGCCGCAAATGCATTTAAGAGGGGATCAGCTAGAACCGCAGAAGCGGCTAAGAGAGCGCACATGCAGTAGCGCAGGTGCGAGAATGTGATCGCAGATGCGGAAATGGACCTTTAAGTGAAAACCGCAGATGTGATGGGTTGGACCGCAAAAGCGAAAATAGGACCGCTGGTGTGGAATCCCTAGGTCAGAAAGTATATAAACCCTCCTTCGCAATTTTCAGCCTTCTTTACCATTTTTAAATCGATTTTGGAGGTTTTTAGGGGATTTTGGAGAAGGAATCAGAGGGAACTTCACTTAGGTAAGATTTTTTATCACAAAACTCGTTCCTATGGTGCTATTTCAATGATTAGGCTTGAAATTTATGGAAATTTGTGGGTGAATATTGAAGAAACTAGGGCTTGAGATTGAAGACCTTTGAGTAAGGGTTTGAGGGGTCATTTGTAGTCGGATTTTGGTACTTTTGATATGGATGAACTCGTGGGAGGATAAGGAGTTTATTGATGTAATTTCTATCGGATTCTGAGGCGTGGGCCTGGGGGTCAGGTTTTGGTTAATTTCGGATTTTGTGTTGTATATTGATTATTTTTGAGTGGGCTTTGTTTCCTTAGCATATTTTAATGGTTATGTACTGATTTAAGTTAGATTTGGAGCATCCGGAGTCCGATTTGAGAGGCAAAGGCATCGCGGGCTAGAATTTGGACCGGATAGAGGTGAGTAATAATTGTAAATGTTATCCTGAGGGTATGAAACCCCGGATTTCACATCATTGTGTTATTTCAAGGTGACACGCATACTAGATGGCGAGCGTGGGGTCGTGCACTGTTGGGGATTGTCACTTAGTCCGTCGCGAATGACTGTTTTACTGCGTATTTGATTGAAAATTGTTTGATATCATCATGTTTTGGACTGAATGCCATATTTGGCCCTCGTGCCAACTGTTTTGGACCCTTAGGGGATTTTTACTGCTATTCCTCACTATTTTGACTTTATATTTATACTCAGTCATGCTATATTCTACTGTTTTTCATAACTCAGCCATGTTTACTCTGTTTTGACATCTTAAATGATATTTTGGGCTGAGCATCGTATTTTACTGTGTCCGAGTGGCTTTTAAAGATTTCTGACTGAGTAGGGCTAAGGGCTTGTGTTATGAGATTAATATGGGATCAGGCTGCGCGCCACAACAATATTGTGTTGATTCATGATTATAAGGCCGAGGGCCTGAGTTGTACGCCACAAGGTGGCTTGATATGAGGCCGAGAGCCTGTTTGATTATACTACGAGATGGCTTGTTATTGCGCTTGTGCTATAAGGAGCCCCTCCCGGAGTCTGTACATCCCTAGTGACCACGGGTACCTAGTGTGAGATGTGTTATAGCCTGAGGAGCTGATGTTGCTCCATGCTATTGCCCGAGGGGCTGATACGAGTGATTGTGAGATACACCCTAGGGGGCTGATTCTGTTGGTACTTTGCCCAAGGAGCTGATTTTATGTGTTTATCTTTTCTCACTGCTTTTCATTCACTTGTTTAACTGTTAAAAGATATTTTAAAGAAGCTTATACTGAACTAAGGTGTTTTTTTACAAGTTTTCACTATTTTATTGCATTGTATTGGTTTTACACTGCCTCTGTATAGCATTTTGCTGTGTTTTACGTGTTTTCTTATCGCTCAGCTGCGTTTACTTTTATTACTCACTAAGTTGGTGTACTCACATTACTCCCTGCACCCTGTGTGCAGATTCAGGAACCTCGGGTCCGGCTAGCAAGGGCTGATTGCTTCCAGCAGGCTGTTTGGAGTTCACTAGGTAGCTGCTCGGCGTTCGCAGCCCAGTGCTTCTCCCTCTTATCTTACTTCCCATTGTATTAGTTATGTATTAGACTGCGTAATCTCTTTCATACTCTTAGACAGATGTTTAGATACTCATGACTGGTGACACCCCGATGTCGGGCTGTATTTATTTTCGCACTTGTTCTATTTCACTGTATTTTGGGGTTTATCACTTATTAATGACTTAAATTGAATTATTATAACTATTTAAATGGATTGGGGGTTTGTGTCGGCTAGCCTTGTTTCACGATAGACTCCATCATGATCGGGTCTGAATTTAAGGTCATGATACATATGGACCTTAGCTAGGGGTTGCTGCCTTCAGTCCATCAGGAGATCCGAGGTAGACTTGCAGGCGTCCGCAAGCCTTGGCGTTTTCTCCCTATCTAGTTTCTTTCTGTTCTTTTATATCCCAAAGACAAACATGTATTTTCTTGTTCAGACTTTATTTGTAGTTGTCTTAGATAGTCCGTGAAATTGTGATACCAGTTCTGGGTGGTTTCTGTTATAGATTCGTTTTGGTATTGGTTTAATTGTTAAATTTCATTCTTCTGCTTATTTAATATTCGTTGTTTATAAAATGTTAATTTACAACTGTTAAGGAAAAAATAAAAAGGGTAAAATAATTGAAATCATTGGCTTGCCTAACTTTCACTAGTNTTTGCTACTATTTTTATTTTCTTTTGGAGCGATTGTCCGTGAAGCAAAAATCACGTGCTTACAGTAGGCGTCATCACGACTCTCGAGGGTGGAAAATTCGGATAATGACAATTTGTAACACACTGCTTTGGTGATTAATAAAATTAAGTTAGTTACCAACAAAAAAATTGTGAGTTTCATGTCAATGCACTTATAAAAATATGGTTAAAAAGAAAATAATATCCAACACTCCAACTAGGGATATACAAAGGAAACCGATGAACCGCACCAAACCGATAATACGAGTCAAATCGAGAAAAAAATCCGATTATGGTTTGGTTTGGTGTTAGAAAAAAAACTGACCATAATTGGTTTGGTTTGGTTCTAACTAAAACAAATCAAACTGAAACCAAAACCAACCCGACATACATGTATACAAGTTTTAAAAATAATTTATACATAAAAATAATTATTGTAATATAATTTGTAAATATTTTTTAAATTTTTTCACAGTTCTCGATTTTAATAGATTATTTCAAGCTTGGACTAGAACTTTTGAATGGTCAATATGTTTTATAGCCCATAAAAGTTAGTAACTAGAATAAAGCCCAAAGCAAAATCAAATCAATAATAATGCTAAAAAAATTCAATTCAATACTAGGAATGACAGTAGTATTTAATATGTATTGTTTTTGTTTTGCATTGGTTTAGATAGTGAGAATGCATAACTTACTTTATATATTGTTTAGTCATGAAATTAATACTTAGTACTTATTAGTCGTACTTATTTTAGCATGACTTAGTAATTTTAGATTAGGTTTATTTTTATTATGGATTATTAATTAGCAAGAATTAATTTATGCAATTTATTGAGTATTTTAGTATAATATAATCATGACTCATCTCATATTATTTTGTATTATATTATTGGATAACATATTATATAGTTTTATCCTAGTAGGAGCTAAGAAATATTGGAGCACAATTTATATATTTTATGCTATGAAGATTTTGTCGGAAAACCCCGAAAAACCCGAGAAAACCCCGATTTTTTTTTGTTTGGTTTAGTTTATAAATTTAAAAATCTGATACAACTGGTCTGGTTTGGTAATTGAAAAATCCAAACCAACCTGACCTATGTACACCCCTAACTCCAACAATAAAATAAAGATAAAAAACTAACATATAAAGTTATAATCAAAACCAATTTCTTGTATTATGCTATCTAAGAATTACATAATACTTGTAAAATAAAATAAGGAAAAATAAAAAATAAAAAGAATTTTTACCACCTATAGCAAAGGTTAACACCTTATTTATTTTAAATAAATACCATTTTAAAAAATTATATTCTATAGATACCTTTTAATGTTTATAGCAAAATATCCAATTTTGGTTACCTCCTACCCTTATGCCACTAAATACGCTATTTTTTATTTTTCTCTCTCCTTTTTCAGATTTTTCTCTCACATAATTACCGTATTTCATATAAACTTCTCACTCCACGTTCTATCTCTATCTACTTTGATACATGTCATTCTCTTCCCCCATTCCCTGAAAGCACGATGCTCAAACTCAAAATTTCTCTCACCCACATCGCCTAGTTCTTCCCCATCTCAGTCTTCACCCTAATTTTATTGTCTTTTTTTAGCCCGTCACGCCAACATGTAGCTAACATCTACACCTAAATATGATTTCACATCATCAATTATATCCTTTGGGTTGTATTTCCTCTTATGATTAATAAGTTTGGGATTAATCATACCACCTATAAGGCTGCTACTTGCCTGGTGTTGCTCATACACTTTGTCCTTCAACTGGCATGTATGCTTATCATTGAACTCTCTCATTTTGAATAGTTGTGATTTGTTAATGCTAGAAGCCTTAAACCTCCATTCACAATCTTCTGACATACGTAATAATGTATAGCTGTAAAGAATTTATCTTTGTACATATGATCAGTATAAATGCTACAAAAAATACACTCATAACATTTGAATACATTATTACATCTATATATATAAATTATTATACAACACAAATATATAAAAATGGCATACATTTAAATATGTCTGAATACGCCTATAGTTATATGTATATATTTAAATACAACTAATACATCTAAAAAAATAGTGAGAGACACTGTAATAAGTATTTACCAGTAAAATACAGAAGAATACATGTATTTGAAATACATAAAAAATACAAAAGCACAACAGTGAAGGTCAAGTAAAAATTCCCAAATACATCTTAATACCATTTACAACTCCTACCATGAATACAATATACAAAAAAATTATGAATAGTTAAGAACACTCAAACCTGATAGTATTAGACCTATCAACCCGAAATTGAAACCTTTCAGATATAGCATAATGCCCATCACTTCTTTCAATGTAGCCTTATCCTTATATACTTGTTCAACCATAACCTCCCTTTGATTAGTTTTTGAAATTATCAAATCCTTGTCCAGTTCGAACACTCTAATTGGTTCGCCTAAATTGACAACATCAAAAGAGCAAGTGTATTATCTGTATCAAAATTATACCTTTGAACTGCTTCCTCTATTTGCACAATATCGCCTTGAATTAAACTACCTCCGACTGCAACTTCTTTGTCAATTCTTGTTATGCACAGAGGATACATCTCGAATTCTTTGTTCTCATTTTTCAACTCTACATATACACTGTAACCCATATCATTGTGTATTTTCATTGGCATGCAATTTTCTTCTACTTTATATTGAATTTTAATGGACTTTGAGCTCAAATATATGTCCAGTTGCTTAGAATTTGACGCAACCAAATCATTATACGACGCATACTCCTTTATCAGTATTCCCTCAATCGAATAATCGATGTAGTTACTCTCACTATTCCACTTGCCAGAATGACGCAATAACATGGTTAAACTTGTCATATGTAAAATCGAATTATATCGTATTTCTGTATACAATTGTATCAATCTCGATTTGTAGTGGTTGAAAACATAACTGGGTACGAACTGGAACAACAAAAAAAGGGAGAATTGAAAATCCAGAGATTGCTCTATTTTTTGCTATTTTTCGGATTGAAAATCTTTCATGAAGCGTGAAATACAGATTATGGGTGATATAATTGTGTTAATTGAGTTATCTTAGGAGACTATTTGGTAAATTGATTTTCTTTCCATTTTAAAACAGTTGAAAGGTCCTTTTTTTTACGCAACTTACGTTACTGTATTCACGAATACAGCTCGTGAATACGGTCAAATGCAACAACTGATTAGCTAGACTTCCCTGATTCACGCCTATTTTTGCTACTGTATTCATGAATACAGTAGCTTAAATATATCAAATATACCTTATAACAACAGAAAACGTAGCTACAAATAGTAATATAGCAAATTGTATCTATAGATAGTGTGTGCATTCGATTTATCGATTCGATCTTGACCATTATCGATTATCCATTTGTACATATGCTTATCGTTATCATTTCAATAAGGTTTCAATTTTTTCAATTTTGATTTATCGATTTTTTGGGCTTATCGATTCGGTTATCGATTACACTAATAAGAAAATTTGCGGGATTCCACGGAAAATATATCACTAAAAACATGTCTAACTAATATGGACAAAAAGAAATTAAAAAGCAACTTACAGCAGACGCTAAAAGATAGTAGAAAAGAAGAAACTTACAGCAACACCAACTGAGAGAGCAAATGTACCAAACTTTTCAGTTAAAGGCACTTCTCCACCCTACACCCAAATAGATTATTAGAAAATTCAGTAAAAAGTAATTTTTCTAAAAATAAGAAAAATGAGAAGAAGAGTGAAGTGGGAATTAATTATGAAGTGATTCATATCTCCATTTGCCACGAAAATCTGTAATAGACAGCCATAATAGCCAAGGAAGTAATCCCAAAAATAGACATAACCGCAGCCACAAGATAAGTAAACCTCTCCGATTTTTTCCTAGCCAATTTTTCGGCTAAACGTGTCGCTGAGATCTGCTCCTCAGTTTTTATTTGAATCTCCTCTGTCCCAGTCTCTAATTGAGCATTCAACTTGTCAAATTGAGTATTCAACTTCTCATCCTCCAGAACAAAGCAAACTGTGAAACTGGGTTTTCTTCTAGACCTTAGAATTGTGCCAAGATTACGAGAAAACGAAGAGATTGGGAAAACTGGATTTGGGCCAAGAAATGGGCTGTAACGGAAATAAATGGTTTGAAAGCTGGATGTAAAGGGTAGAGGAAATAATAGGGTTAGAGACTTAGGGTAAAGGAAAGGGTATTATAGAATAAGGGTATATTTGTTTTTTTTAGTATATCTTATCGGTATATCGATAAACCGATAATCGAAGAGGACAAAATCGAATCGAAATCGATAAGGAAATTTCGAAATCGATAAATTGATATCGATAAATCGATAACAAATAATTGATTCGATTTATCGATAAACCGATTCGAATGCACACTCTAATCTATAGATAGCTAATAACCACAAAATAATAGTGCTTTATAAAAAATTTTAAAAATAAAAAGGGCGAGATGCCCGAAAATCCCTATTCTATTATGGTAAGCCTGGCCTTTACAGACTTGTCAGATTATGGGGGAAGTGCACGGTTAGCCACTAATAAAATATGTATTTACTTTTAAGCCACTATTTAAAATATCTTTAGCCTTTAGCCTTTAGCCACTGCTTTAATAAACTTTAACTGCCCAGACAAAAATACACTTCTGCTCGTGTCCTTAACTTTTGTACTTAACTTCAGGACTACATGTCCTTAACTTTTGAACTTGGAACTCTAAGTTCAGGACTTCAGGACTACATGTCATTAACTTTTGAACTTAACTTCAGGACTACATGTCCTTAACTTTTGAACTTGGAACTCAAACTTCAGGACCAAGCGTCCTTAACCTTTGAACTTGTAACTGTAAGTTAAGGGCTGTCTGTCCTTGACTTTTGAACTTGGAAGTCAAAGTTAAGGACCTATTGTCCTTAACTTTTGAACTTGTAACTGTAAGTTAAGGACTGTCTATCCTTAACTTTTGAACTTGTAACTATAAGTTAAGGACTGTCTGTCCTTAACTTTAGAACTTGTAACTGTAAGTTAAGGACTGCATGTCCTTAACTTTTAAACTTGTGTCCTTAACTATTGAACTTAACTTCAGGACTTCAGGACTACATGTCCTTAACTTTTAAACATGAAACTCTAAGTTCAGGACTACATGTCCTTAACTTTTAGATTTAACTTTAGGACTTCATGACTACATGTCCTTAACACAATTATCTTTGTCCTCAATATTTTTGGCTTTTTACCATATTTTTCCTAATTATCTGTTGTTTAAGAAAATCTAAAAGTCACTTCTTTTAGAAAACCAAAAGTTATGTCCTCCCACGTCTGTGATTATTATGAGTGAATAGTTTACCAGGCAATTCAACTCCTGAAAGCAGACACAAAAGAAAATGAGAGGCTTATAAAATTTATATGATTAAAGCATTTCGTTTCTTCTGTTCAAAATTGGATTTCATATATGTAAATAATGGAAACTCTCATACGGACCTCAGAACGCCATTGCAAAAGGAGAAGTGGAGCTGTAAGGAATGAATCTGAAAATGGCGTATTTCCGTTTGGGAAGGAAAGGGTAATACTGCCTTTTATATTAATTTTAATAGACTAGTGATTACTTTTGCTCAGCATTAAAAATGCTGGATAAAAAGTAAATACCACTTTAAAAAGTGGCTACCCCACACAATTTTTACACAGATTATGTTGTACGAATGATGAACTAACAAAATGAGACCATTTCAAGACTTGACCCATTCTGTAAAGAATATTTTGGGCCCATATAACCAGCCCAAGCTTTCATGGGCCTATCTGTTCAAAAGGGATGGTTTGCACAAATATGACTCTTTGGTGCTACTATTGATTTTTTGACATCATTTGTTCTATGGATATAATTTCAAGTTTAACCTCTCGCGCGACCCATCGGAAATACTTTTAAATTGTGACCTTAAATGTTTGGCCATAGGATAAGCGGGGGGTCAAAAAATCAAGACCATCTATTTTCAAGGTCATTAGGTGTAATTTCCTGGTTCAGAATCTGGAATTAGCCTAGGATCTATTAGAAGTAGTCTCTCTACTTTCACAAGGTTGGAGTAAGGTCTAAGGACATACTATCTTCCCCAGTGGCGGATGCAGGATCTCCGCGAATGGGATTCAAAAAGAAAAAAAGTTAAAAAAAATTGTAGGAAATTGAACTTATGATCTTACAAAGGTTTGAACTCCCCTGACTACTAAGTTACACTTTTAGGTTGTGTCAAGGGATTCAAAACTTAACATATATAGGTAAAAAACAGATTTTGCCGTATATATACACTGTAATTTTCAGCGAAGTGGGTTCGGATGAACCCCTTCCGCCCCTAAATCCGCCCCTGATCTTCCCGCTTATGAAAATACATCAAGTATATGTTATTGTTATTGTAGAAAATGGAATAACAAAAGGGTTAAAGACCGAAGAAAGATGGACATCAGAGATGATGAACAGAGACTTTTCTGTCCCAAGTACACTGCTTCCAATTGGACTATCCAAATAACATCTTTGGACTCTTCCAACTTTAGCAGATCTCTTCACTGAGCTTTGGGGCCCATCTCCCATTTGTATTGTCCACTATGGCTAACTCATCTCTCATTCAATATTTTATCAAATGGATGAATATTGTCATTAATTAATTGTTTCCTATGCCTAATAAGCCAACGTTGTTTGGTTGTTGAAAGAAATCTATTTTCTTAAATGGAAATTTTCTTCTCCGCAAAGTCTATACTAATATACATTTGCTATTTTATACTAATTCAAACTTGATTTGACATCTGATTTTTCATTTTACATTCAACTTATCATTTTGAAGTTTGCTTACGTCTTAGTGTCTTCACCTCTTGTCTTAATTCTACTCTTGGAGAAATTAATATTCTAGCTGATTATATGACGAAGATTAATTAATAATATGTCTTATTTATTTTTAGAGCTGTCAATATGGGTCGGGTCGGGTCGGGCTAGCCCAGCCCAGCCCACGTGGGCTTTAGCAATTGACGGGCTGGGCTGGGCTGGGCTAGCCCACCCCAGCCCTATGTGGGTTGCGGGCCCCCACGGGCCGGACTATCATTTTTAAAAATATAATTTTATATTTTTTCTTTAAGTTCTGACCTAAAAAAAGATAATTATTTAAAAGTTAAAAAATATCTTATTGGAAAAAATTCGCAAAACTTAATAACTTTTTATATTTTTCCAATATATCACAATAAATACTAAAAAAAGTAAAAGACAGGACTATATTTCATTCATTAAAAGTCAAAATTTAAAACAAACTATTCAAGAGAACGTTCATGATGCTTATGAGATATCTAACACATCATCTTCATCAAACACATTTGAATCGGCTTGTCAGAAGGTTGTCTTAATTAACATCTTCACTTTCATCTACAATTCATATGCAATATTAAATTAGTTAAATATTAAAAATAATTAAATTTAAAAAATTAATAATATTTAAATTCACATAAAAAATATTACCAATTTGAGTTCGGGAAAACCTGTGCAGCCAATTTCGAATAGTAACCAGTCTTTGGACATTTTCATAATAAATGAAACTTCTGTACTTTGTAAGAACACGCCACCAACTTGTGTGTCATGCTTTCTGAATGCAACTTGGTAGGAAATTCTAAGGAGTGGTGAATTGATTCTGGAGCCACTCGCCATGTTTGTGTTGTGAGGGAAGCATTTTCTACATATGCTTTTGTTGGACTNATGGGATTGCGGAAAGAAAGAATCGTTCATTAAAGGAGATGATGAACGCATTGTTGATAAGTTTGGATTGCAACAGAACTTGTGGGTGGAAGCTGTTCTTACGGCTAGCCGAATACTAAATCGAGTACCGCATAGCAAAATACAATCCATTCCATATGAAAAATAGAAAGGAATGAAGCCCAACTTGAATTATTTTAAAGTGTGGGGGTGTTTGGCAAAAGTACAAGTTCCTAAACCCAAAATGGTAAAAATAGGACCGAAAACCGTTGATTGTGTTTTCATAGGATATGCGACCAATAGTAAAGCATATCGATTTCTGGTTCATAAATCAGAAAATCCTGACATTCATAATAATACGGTTATAGAATCAGATAATGCTGAGTTCTTTGAAAATATATATCCGTATAAAAAGGAATGTGAATTGTTTAGTGAAGGATCTAAACGACCTTGGGAAGAAACAAAAGAAAGTACATTTTATCAGGAGGATCCAAGACGTAGTAAACGTCAAAGAACGTCTACTTCGTTTTGACCAGATTTTGTGACTTTCTTATTGGAAAATGTGCCTCGAATATATAAAGAAGCTATGTCTTCTTCGGAATCATTGTTCTGGAAAGAGGCAGTCAATAGTGAAATAGAATCCATATTGAACAACCATACATGAGAATTGGTTGATCTTCCTCCTGGAAATAAACCTTTGGGGTGTAAATGGATTTTTAAAAGAAAAATGAAAGATGATGGCACTATTGATAAATTTAAAGCAAGACTTGTTGTCAAAGGGTATAGACAACGAGAAGGTCTTGACTACTTTGATACATATTCTCCAGTGACGAGAATTACGTGCATACGAATGCTAGTAGCATTAGCTGCAATTTATGGTCATGAAATTCATCAAATGGATGTAAAGACAGCCTTCTTAAATAGAGATTTGGAGGAAGAAATTTACATGGAACAACCTGAAGGGTTTGTAGTTTCAAGTAAAGAAAAGAAGGTATGTAGACTTGTTAAGTCCCTCTACGGACTAAAACAAGCACCCAAACAATGGCATGCGAAATTTGACCAAAATATGTTGTCAAATGGTTTTAAGATAAATGAATGTGATAAATATGTGTACATTAAAAATGTTCCAAATCACATAGTCATTGTTTGTCTATATGTGGATGATATGTTGATAATGAGTAATGACATTGCCAACATAAAGGCAACTAAGCGTATGTTAACTAGCAAGTTTGATATGGAGGACTTGGGAGTTGCAGATTTAATTCTGGGGATTAAGATCCAAAAGACTCCTCAAGGTCTGG